GGGGGGGGGGGGGGGGGGTGAAAGTTACTTCGCGTGGAAAGTTCAACGTTTCTGAACAGGGAAAGGTGTAGATTAGTACTTCATATTATACATGTATAACAGAAATAATACGTTTATTTTAAAACTATGATTGTTAATAACTTTTTAACGAAAGATGAGCGACGGCTAAAACCTGTTGGAAGTTACTTAGGGTCATGACCTTGACAACATATGTCAAGGTCAAAGTCATTGGAGGGAATTCCCCTCATAGACACATTTACCAATGAAACATATTAGCGATAGGTTTGAATTTTTCAGAAACATTGTTGAAAAGGAACGGTAAATAATTTTTTTCAAGATTGTTCTTATTAGAAATATTATTAATATGGAATTTAATTCTTGTGAATAGTAGAAAAAATAAAATATAGAGGATATCCGTTTTTTGTAAAAATATATTGATGGCTTCTATTAAATTATTTTGTTGGAACGTTGGATGACACAATCTTAATATTTTATCCTCCTTTGTCTCCGATTTTAGCTGGCATCGTAATGGAGGATTTGGAAACAAAGATTCTTTCAACTATAAATGTTGACATTCCAATATACCAACGATATGTAGACGATATATTAATAGCAATCCCTAAATTGGATATTAAAAAAGTTTTTGATACTTTTAACTCGTATAACGAAAGAATCAATTTTACTATGGAATGTGGTATTGATGGTTGGATGAATTTTTTAGATGTTAAAGTAGGTGTAGAAAACGACAGAATCATTTTTGATGTGTACAAAAAACCTACGAACTCTGGAAGATATCTTAATTTCTTTTCGAATCATCCAATGTGTCATAAAAAAGGCGTAATAATTTCCTTGATTGATCGTATAATATTATTGTCGCATCCGAAATTTCATTCTAATAACATCACAGAATTAATCAGAATATTAATCGGTAATGGATATCCTTTAAAATTTTTGTTTTCTTGTATTAATGATAGAATTAATAGTTTAAAATATTATAATATCAATAGAAATAGTATTATGAATAATGGAATAAAAAGAAAAAATAATTATTTGGTAGTGCCGTATCACAAAAATGTTTCAGAAAAGTTTAAAAACATCATTAATATTCCGAATACGGATATTGCCTACAAACCGATTAATAATCTTAGTAGTATAATTAAAACAGGAAAAGATAAACTAGATAAGTTCGATAACACTAATGTTGTATATAAGATCAATTGCAAGGATTGTGATATGACTTATGTCGGACAAACGAAAAGACGACTAAAAACGCGATTAAAAGAACATAGGGATGGTTGGAAAAGAATTAATAATACCTCTGTTGTAAGCAAACATCAAGTAAATTGTAATCATGACATTGATTGGGATA